TATACCCAATATCATTTTCAAAACTACTTGCATTTTCATCTGGGAAAAGGAACAAAAGATTCCAGCCCAACATTCAGGTGCCTGTGTTCGTAATACCTTTGTTACACAGAACATACTAAACAAACAATTTTATTTTGTAATGTAAACAGGACCTAATACTGAGCATTTAACATGGTTACAATAGCAAGATCAGAGAAAGAATTAACCTCTCAAGAAATAGTTATTTCAGTGTCATATTATCTTCTTAGCTATGTATCCTGACATGCTCAGATTGGTTTACGCCAACAGTTTTGTCAAGGTCATAAGTAGACGCAAAGAATATAGTAAAATATTAACTAATGTTCTAAGCTTGTACTGTAGCTTGTTGAATAAGTTTCCTCTCCATCCCCATCGTACCAAACTTAACTAGGATGAGCCATAACTATTTGTTGAGACAAGAGCCACCTTAAAATAAGTAAGCAGACACTGCTACCCTACTGATAAAGATTTAAGGACCTCACTGATGGCATTGTCAGACAGACATATAAGACACAAGCACTGGACTTACTTTCAGATAATATGCCGGCAACAAAACATACAGTAGGTTAAGAGAGCCTCAAAAAATAAATAAATTACACACTATATTTTCACAGGGTGTTTACAGAAAGACTGATCCTAAAATCTGTACCTTGTAGACTTTGTCTAATGACTTGCCAAGATCATTAAGTAGATTTTTACATGTGCAAAAACTTTGTTTCATGGTGATGCACTTTGGAGATTATGAAATTCTATTACAGAGTCATATGTTTTATGCTTTAAAGACTCAGAAAATAAATTAGTGCAGAATTTTTAGAAAAACATTCTCCAAAGGCAAAGTTAACATGGATGCATCAATTACAACTGAAGATTGCACCTCTGGAATTGCTTTTTAAACCAAGCATTACATTATTCAACTTAAATAGAGACAGTGATCTCACAAGGTAGGCAGGAACTGGCCTGCTCAGTACTTAGACTAGACTAGAGACACTTCTAAGGGACAGTAGGTTTTCAAGAAAGTGGTGATTGTGGCATTGTGAATCCACATGCAGCTGATTTTTTAACATGATTCTCAGCAGCTCATTTTCCCCCAATGAAGTGTATAATGCTACCGTAATTTCACGAAATAGTTGTCACCCGCCCATTACCAAAAAGAATACTCAGTTAAAAAAGACCCAAAAAAGGACTCTGTTTTTGTATTCTTTCTGTGTAAGATTGTAAACTCTTTGGAACAGGGATTATTGTCTTCTTCTGTGACTCCTACTGCACTGAGCACACTGGTGGTGCTTAACAGTTAAAAATAACAAGGAAGGGGAACCCACTGGAGGTGCTGTCTTTGAAAAAGTGTCATAAAACTTACTTGACCTGCCAACATGTGATCATTAAAGTTTCCATGGGACTTTTCATAAAAGAGTAGCAATGTTGTCTTGTGCTGACCAAGTTCCAACTCCGATAATTATATGCTGCCTCCCTAAACTCCCACTGATTTTGTTATCTATTGGGCAAAATTCTCCACCTTCTTCCCTAAACTGCTGTGTAATGTTCTTCTGCACTACACTGCATTCCACAGCAGAGAGGACTGCATTTTAGTGGCTGGCAAAGGGATTCTTATTCCTTACTTCTACATCCCTGACTGTCATTAGAGAGGTTCCATTAAATTAGTATGTGTAAAACGCTATTTACCCTTGGATGGAGAAGTACTATAGAAGTGCAGAAGTATTATTAAATGGAAAACCAGTGTCTTCTCTTTGTCTTATTGAGAGTCTGGAAGCATTTCTCTGACAAGTGAAATAATGTTCTCTGTGGCAAGTGTGACTGTCAATCAGGGACACCAAAATGAAAACTAAAGCAATGATGGGACACAAAAGTCAGGGAGGAAGGTTGTTACAGGAAAGACAATGAAGATCTTAATATAGAAACCATGAAAGGAAACCTTAATTCAATGCTTAAATATCATCACACCATGATTTACCAATGATCTGTGGCAAAACCAACCATCAAATCAGTAAGCATATGTACAGAGCTGCACATGTGACAGACATCTGCCTCTGGACTCCCATCAGATTACCCTGGCTATGTTCTAACCTGGTATGAAAGACATACAAGTGGTGTGCTAGTCATGCATACTGTAAGCAGGGGCGGCTCTATGTATTTTGTCGCCCCAAGCACGGCAGTCAGGCGGCTTTCGGCTGCATGCCTGCGAGAGGTCCGCCGGTCCCGCACCTTCGGCGGCATGCCTGCGGGAGGTCCGCCAGTCCCGCGCCTTTGGCATACCTGCCGCCGAAATTGCGGGACCTCACGGCGACCGGCAGGCCACCCCCCCGCAGCTTGCCGCCCCGGCACGCGCTGGTGCCTGGAGCCGCCCCTGATTGTAAGAGCTCAGTACTCTACCTGCCAATCCACTTGGTATCTCCAAGAGTGGACACGTTTCTATTGATCTAGGATTGCTACAAAGATCCCTTCCTGTTTGCAGGGAAAACAGTTCCTTTTAGGGCTAGGACAAATTATAAACAACTTTATTTGGTACAGGGAATGTGAGGCCAGGGATGCAACACGAAAACAAACAACCCTGTATGCACACTGATGCCTATGTAGCCCCATGTACAAGATACCAGTATTCCTTCCTCCTATGTGTAAACTATTCCTACAATATTTACACATCTGCTTGATTCATTACATACAATAGAATGACTCTTTTCAGCAGCCTTTAATGTAAACTTCCTGTATCCTATCCTACAATGTAAATCTTTCCATGCTCTAATAATGCAAACAACACTTAAACAGATCAACATAATTTCTCTTATATAAACTATGCTTTTCATAGTAGACGGTTGTGTATCCACCACATAGTTGTGAGACTAATAAATTGAGTCACATATAAGATAATAGTAGTCAAGATATGGAAATGACCCATTACAGCAGAGTCTATCCCCCTCAAAAGGCAAGTTATAGTCTCCTGACAGATGATCTGTCAAATATACCACAACTGGTCTTAGTCAAATGTTCTTTGCATCTGGTTTTTGCTTGCTAATCATTTGAGGAATAAAAATGCTTGTAACCATTGTGATAAACTATTTTAGTTAAATAACAGAAAATCACTGAAAGTAAAAAGACAGAGCAGGAGGTGCCCTTAGAGCAATGAAAATGAATTGAGTTTCACTTTTGTACATCAGATTAAACTATCAGAGTCTATGCCAGGCAAGTAAAGAATAGCTATTTATAAACTACCTCTTAGCCACAGCAACCCAGTTATAGAGCGGTTTCCCAGACTGCTTTATTGTTGTACCAAACAGACTACTCATTCATTTCCTGTCATTTGCAATTACAGCCCCATAACTGAAATACAGTAAATTACTATGGAGTACCTTTGAAAGATGGTTCATTGGGGTTCAGCTGTCACAACAATTATTGTATAATAAAAAAAAATGATTTTAAGAGTTCCAGTTCTCTCTCTCTTTTTTTTTAAAAAAAGACTAATTTACTTGAAGCAGCTCACTGTGAAGCAAATATCTCAATATAAGCATGCAGATAAAGGAAAATGACAAATTTGGTCAGCCAGACAAACTCAACAAGAGGTACTGCACTCTATAAATAAACTGATGTGTGTAAACATCTAAAAATCTCACTTTTTAAACCATTCAAATAAATTGTACTTGTATCAGAAATAACAAATATACAATGCCTTTCAGGTTTTCTATAAATGTCTTTTCCCCTCACACTAGACATAAAACAGAGCCTTCTTTCAAAAGCCTAATTTTATTTTCATTTTTCAGTATATTTTGGTCCAGTAATATCAAGATACCCACAAATCACCTAGTACCAACAGGTATGTGGATCAGGTGAGTAGTTCAGAGCTAACCCGAGCATTTTTGATTGGGCCTGCAAAACTATTTTGCAATCCCTCCACTCCCTAAACATAACTGATTCCTGTCTACTATGATCACAATACTATGCACAAGGCGGGTGGTACCATTTTGGGAAAGGTCAATGATATGTTTCATTTCGGAACTCCCAAACTTAATGGATACATTTGACATAAAATGAAAGAAGTGGATATCTGAGACACCACCAGCCTCCTGCCGTAAGAACAAAATTCAAATTTTATGAAAACACTTAGAAAAAGCGTACAAAATCTCCCAGTTGCTTTGTGGTCTGACAAGCTTCTGGAAGGATCCCTCTGGAGAACAGCACCAGATTCACACTTCTCAGAAAGGCTCCTGGTCCTATTCAGAAAGACCACCTTATTATCATCTTTGGTGAGCAAGATGCATTTGACAATCTAAAGGCAACCCTCAGTGTTTCAGTCATGCCATTGGGTCTACCACACCTTTCTGTCATACACTCTCTTTCACAGTCTCCAAAGAAGCAAAATTAAGCAAGTGGTAAATAATTGTTTGACTTTGGGTCAGAATTTCATCTATTGTAAATCAGCATAGCTCCACAGAAATTAGTGAAGTTACACTGATATACACCAGCTGAGGATCCAGCTCAGGGGTGGCCAACCTGAGCCTGAGAAGGAGACGGAATTTACCAATGTACATTGCCAAAGAGCCACAGTAATAGGTCAGCAACTCCCGCCCACTGGCAGCCCCGCCGATCAGCGCCTCCCCCTCCCTCCCCACACCTCCGGATCAGCTGTTTCCTGGCACGCAGGAGGCTCCAGGACGGAGGGGGAGGAGCGAGGGCATGGCAGCTTCAGGGCCTGTGGCAGAGCCAGTGGTTGAGCAGTGAGCACCCCCCGGCACATTGGAAAGTTGGCGCCTGTAGCTCCAGCCCCGGATTCGGTGCCTATACAAGGAGCCGCATATTAACTTCTGAAGAGCCACATGTGGCTCCGGAGCCACAGGTTGGCCACCCCGATCTAGCTCAAAACGTTAACTATTTATTGTGCTGAGGTCAGTGCTGGATTTGAAAGCATATAATCCAAAAAGCCTGGCATAGGTTAATTTTTTCTCACAAAGATGCATTGTCACCATTAAGCTCACCTTTCTTGCTTCTTCTAGAGCCTCTCTTAGATTCTGAAGTTCTTTGTCATGTTGTTCTTTAAGTTTATCTATCTCCAGGTCATGGTTAGATACTTCTTCTTTCAACGCTCCTTTTAGAGCAGTCAGTTCCCGTTCTCTTTTTCTCAATATTTCTTCTTGTTGTTCTTTTGTCATGAATATTTCTTGCAGATCCTGCTTCATTTGCATCAGCTCCTAAAAACATTTAGAAAACCCTCAAATTAAAACACCTCTTTTTTATCTGGTTCTAGCAAATGGATATTGGAAAGCGCATAATCAATTTCTATACAACTACGGTGTTTCAGTTACAGGATATGATATAAAATATCTTCTCCTTGATTCAGTTGTGTCATCTCAACTGGCTCTGCTGCTTCTCTTGCAGGCTTTCCTAATGTTCACACAGAGCACAGTAAATCTCCTAGATGTTTGTTGATGGTTGGGTACTGCTCTCCAGATCTCTTTTCTACTCCTCCTGCATGTTTTTGTTCTTACATATTTTTGTTACGGCCACCTCCAAAGTAACATTTTCATTTATTAATCTACATGCATATTTAAGCAACGATGTGACAATGTGCTTTGCTGTGGTCAGCTTTGCTTTATAGTCTTGTATTAAAAGAAATGTGCTCTAGTAGATAGAGCTTAACTCTATTCCTGGGTCAGCCCCAGACTCACTGTAACTTTGGATGAGTCACACTTACCTTTTTATTCCATTCTGTATCCCTCATTACTCCAGTCTGTAAAACTGGGATAAGGCTTACCTGCATTGTAAGGGTGATATGAGGCTTGAACCATTTTACAAATATGAATTAAGATCCTTCAATGAAGGTGCCACACTCATTCACTACAGCAGTGGTCTCCAAAGTGGGGTGCGCAAGAGGATCCTTGGGGGTGCGTGGCAGGAGGAGCACTTTTTTTCCCCTTTGTCCGAGCACCTTTTTTTTTTTTGCTTTGGCAAAAATGGTAGAGCCGGTGCAGCAGAGGGTGCGTGCTCAAAATTTTTTTACTGATAGGGGTGCGCGATCAAAAAAGTTTGGAGACCACTGCACTACAGGGCTGAGGTGGGAGCCCAGACTGTAGGTGTTTCTCTGTTTTCTTTTCTATCAATGTAAAACTAGCTTATAAGCTGCATGCTAAAATCCTCAGAAAATAAAAGCCATGATGAAGGACATAATTGGCCTGAAAGATTACTGTGCTGTATCTGTCACACCACAGATTGCATGTGTGTTTTTCAAATCAGTTAAACGAAGGATATCTTTAGCTCCCAGGAGTTTTACTCAAGCCATTCTCTGCTCATCAGAGTCTTTTCTATTGAGAACTCTGGCAGATTTGTTTGGACGATTTTTAAAACTGCAACAAAATACTTTACATGAAAGTTACTATGTTTTCTTAGTCTGCTGTGTCTCAGTAGTGTACTTTCATGTCCTACAAAGAGAGCACTGACCACAAGTTGAAAGATAAACACCAAAGCAGTTCATATCTCATCCCAGAGTCTTCTATATAAAGGGGAAGCCAGTATCTACTAGCTGACAATCTTTAACATTAGATACTTGTTTCCACAACTCCCATTCAATGGGACATAAATACCACTGTTCAGGATATCCTCATGCACACTATTCTTGGGCTTTTTTTATTACTAACCTCTATCAAAACCTCTTTCTCAACATCCACAGCATGCTTTGCATTATCCAATTCATCATGCATTTCAGAGAGCTGGTCTTCAAGGTCCCTGATTTCAGTCTGGTGTTGTTCCCGCTCCATCTTCACTTGAAAAAGTCTCATCAAGGGGGGAAAGAAATGTTTAGGTTTATAGTGTTGTTAAATTGTTTTTCAAGTACCATAAAACTCTGCTCCCACTCTCCCACCCTGGGATAGGATCGAATGAGGCAATAATAGTGGAAGCTGTGCAGGGCATATTGGTCATCCCCCACACAAAGGAGGAGAATGAGACTTTGTCTTCACTCTAATGGTAAAAATGGGATATTCTCTTATGCAGCAAATATGCACATGTGGAATACTGAACTTTATTTTAGACTTAATGTTTTTCATTGATAACATTGTTGGCTGTAGTGCTCATGCATTTCTGTGTTTTAAAAAACCTACCTGTACTGGATGACCATGCAGTATAAGTACAACCCGCATTAAAACAAATATTAAAAATTTTTTAAAAATCTTAGTTTTGCCTCAAATACCCCCAGATGGTCAGTTTTGAGGTAGTAGTTTAAACACTTCAGGTAATAATAAAAGTAGCACTACTTGCTATTGTATTGGATTAGTGTCTTCTAAGCATAAACTTGGGGGGTGGGGGCAGAGGGTGGGAGGGAGTGATAGATAAATTTAATCTGCAGTATTTAATAGAGGAACAAACTCCACAAAGGTTTTCTACAAGAAACTCACTCCTCTAAGTTTTGCCTGAGTTCCTTCTCACTTTCTCCTAGACGCTTTTTTAAGGCATCTTTTTCTTGTACACTTTTGTCAAGTTGCTGTTGTAGATCTTTCAGAGTTGCTCTTGTAGCGTCTCTCTCTTCTTTGGCATTTTGCTGATTCTACATTGTACACATTGAAAGTATTAAGCTGAGGTAAAATGCTAACAACAAAATTAAAGGCCTTGTTTTTAAAGGTATGAAAAGATTCACTCTCAATACTTCATTCTTTTTCAATTACAATATTAAACTACTTAGACTATGAAATCTCATAACAAGACCTGTATTGGAGAAGATAAGCATGGCTTCTGGACTCTTATTAGAAATATGAAAAGGAAAGGCGTCTTAGTATTAGCCAGTCAGTCTCCACTACATTGATCGCTATCACAGACTTAAAGCACACTATAATCTATTACAACTAAATTGCCTCCATAGCCTCTTCAGTGCTTTTTAGCACTTAATCATTTCGAGTTCCAGATTGAAAACGAATGCTATACCTGTTTTATCAGTAACTACATGAATTAATATAGTATATCTCCTATGCCAAACATGTCTCACCATAGTTACAAAGATTTTTTTAAAGCTTTACTTTTGCAGCTATTTAAGAAAGTTTCACTTATGTAATTCTCCATCATGGCATCCAAGGGCTATGTGAAGCAAACAATGGGGAGAGATTATTTTTAGAAAAGCACACTCTTTAAAAAAAGAAGAATCTTTCATATAAGCAAAAGTGTAACTATATGATGCAAAATGATCACACTTGTCTGATATATTAAGCACTTATGCAAATTCCACTCACTAATATGAGAATATTAGCATGATTTACCGTATATTTACTGATATATAAATAATGATTTTTTTTAAATTTAGGAATTATGAGAAACCCACAGAATCTTCTAAGTCTTGAGCTCATAACCCCAGCAATATTCTCTTCACATAAAAGTTCCAAAATTCAAAGCCCCATATTACATAAGCACACAAAGCATTCACAGTCATTAGTTTAGGGACAGAATGTTTACTGAGAAGTTTAGCATAAATCTTACATAAAAGAAAATGTTAGCTTTATCAGGTTGATTGTCACTTGTTTAGAACATCACATTTGCAATACTACTTCTATTCTTTATAATGTAAGTAACAAAATATAATACCCTAATTTCTAGATCCAGCTTTTTCTGTAGCTCTGCAACCTTGCTCTTTAGCTCTGTTTTTTGTTCCAGCAATGCTTTGACTTCAGTTGAAGAATTAGAAACCTACAAATAAACAGAGATGTTTAATCCTAAAAGTCCAAGATATTATTTTTTTGATTTCCTTTTAAAACTTAAATTAAACCACTGACAGAACTAATAAAAAACATAGTGATAATTTGCTTTTTATAATTAGCCAGAACTATGAAAGTTACCATGGGACAGTTTTAATATGGTTTGAGATAGGATGTAATTCTTGTTCAACTTCTTGCAGCTTGCTCAAGACATATTTCCAGTAGCATTGAAAACATCTCAAAAGAACCATGTGTGTGTTGTATAGCTCTAAAAAACTAAAACCCAATGAACAGCAATTGAATAAACCACTAATACTTCAGGCAAAATTCCACTCTCAGATTACTTCGTGCACCTTTGACAGACATCAGTGGGAGTTGAGTATATGGCTCTGAGGGCAGATTTTGGACAGATACTTTTTATAATTATTCACTTGTGTTTTATATTTTCAATCTGATTCCCTATAATCTAAAATAAAATAAATTGATAAGGTACTTCAAATTCAGTCCTCTGATCAATAACATGGTAGCAAATAGGCTTTTTTCAGGTTTCTTTTAGAATTAAAAAAACACAACTGATATCTTGGCAGGTAATAGTAACATTTATTTTTTGAATATGCAAACTGTCAAATTATGTTACGGCACTATTGCTTTTAAACAACATCCTAGACAAATTCTATATTTAAAACACACACAGCAGAAACAGCAATTCATGCCATTGTAATGAGAGGACATTCAGCATTCTTTTCAACAGCAATAAACAACAATCTTTCCTTTAACACAATCACCTTTCAATGCATATGAGACATCAGCAGGAATTACTTTTAAGAGTTCACACAAGTCTCCTCTCTCTCTTCCACCATATAGCCACAACCACTGGAAAATACCTTTAGTATATCACAAACACCCACCCACAGCAGGGCCGGATTAACCTTTTAAACATATTTGTGGGCCCCCATGTAGGCAATGGAGCATGGCGTGGGGACGTTAGTCCCCAGAGCGAGGGGCTGGCCAGAGGCAATGGGCATGGCATGGACACTATTTACAAACCGGCAGTTGCCAGACACACAGTGGCCCCCCTTCCCCTCGGGGGCAGGCCCATGCTGCACCACCCAGCACCCCCGGCCAACACCGGTACACCCCCCCCCCCCCCCGCTTCCCTATGGCCAGAGCCCCCCTGGATCCACTATGCCGAATACCTCCCCCAACCTCCCCACAAATGCACAGCATCCTGCACAACACCACCCTTGCCCAGCGCCCCTCTGCCCACAGCCCTACCACCAGGGCCATCCTTAGGATTTATGGGGCCCGATGCAGTATTATTAAACTGGTGCCCCTATGCCCGACTTGGGGCACAGCCACCACCCCCGCCCGCGGACCCCCAGAAGAATCCCCACCCAATGCTAACACACACTGAGCTTCGTACACAGCAGACACTGCGGCAGCCTGGGCTCACAGCCCGGGGGGAGGGACGAGGCACCTGCCCCACCCAGGCTCCCTCAGGACCCACTTGCCTGGAGGGGCCCAGCCAAGCCCCACATTGTCATTCCCTGCCACCTGGCTGAGACTGGCCAGGCTTCTGCACCAGTCCCAGGTGGCTCAGCTCCGGGGAGACAGGTGGGGCCCCACAGATGGTGGGAAGCAGAGACTGCCCGGAGCCGGAGGTGCACTGGGGTCCAGACAGGGGGCAGAGAGGAACAGGGGGTGGGGCCACGGGGTAGAGAGGAGCCCTCGGCCTGAGGAGCAAGTGATGGGCAGTGGGGAGCCAGCAGGCTGGCGGGGTCTCGGGATGCTGTGCAAGCGGAGCAGGCCAGGGCCCCTTCTGAGCATGGGCCACTGGCGCCATTGTAAACCCGGCACTGACCCACAGTGGTATTGACAACATAGCCTTCAGACAGTAGTGAGGCATCCTAATGTTACTAGGGTTGCCAACCCACCCGGTTTCACTGGGAGTCTCCCGGAATCACGCCCTATATCCCAGAGGCTACTGAAGCCAAACCAGGAGATATTAGGCACTGAAAATTCAGAGGCACCACGGAGCTAAGGCAGGCTCCCTGCATGCCCTGGCTCCGCACAGCTACCGAAAGTGGCAGGCATGTTCCTGCAGTCCCAGGGGAGGGGGGACAGGCAGCTCCACACACTGCCCCCGCCCCCAGTGCCGACTGCAGCTCCCAGTGACCGGGACCTGCGGCTAATGGGAGCTGTGGGGACAGCGCTTGTGGGCGCTGGCAGCACGTGGAGCCGTCTGACCCCCTCCCTGGGGCCGCAGTGACATGCCAGCTGCTTCTGGGAGTGGCGTGGGGCCAGGGCAGGCAGGGAGCCTGCCTTAGCCCTGCTGCATTGCTGCCCGAGGTAAGCACCTCCCAGCCCGAGCCTGCACCCCTCATCCCCTCCCGCACCCCAACCTCCAGCCCGGAGCCCCCTCCCCACACCCAAACTCCCTCCCAGAGCCCGCACCCCTCACCCCCTCCCACACCCCAATCCCCTGCCCCAACCCTGAGCCCCCTCCATTACCCAAACTCCCTCTCAGAGCTTGAACCCCACACTCCCTCCTGCACCCCAACTCTCTGCCCCAGGCTCAGCCCGGAGCCCCCTCCAACACTCTGAAACCCTTGGTCCCACCCCCCAGCCCAGAGTCCACACCCCCTCCTCTACCCCAACCCCCTGCCCCAGCCTGGTGAAAGTGAGTGAGGGTCGGGAAAGTGAGTGATGGGGTGGGGGAGGGAGAAGAGATGGAGTGAGTGGGGTGTGGCCTCAGAGAAGAGGCGGGTCAGGGCCTCAGGGAAGGGGCAGGGCAAGGGTGTTTGGGTTTGTGTGATTAGACAGTCGGCAACCCTAGTTACTCCTTAATTTGGGTCTCCGACACACAACTGCAAAATGTACTTAGAGATGTCCTACATGGCAGATTCCTCTACTCTTACATTTAAAAATGTATGTAAACTTTCACAGAGACCCCAGTCCAGCAAATTACTTAAACACGTGCTTAACCTTAAGCACAAGTAGTCCCACTGAAGTCAATGAAGCTATTCACATGCTTAAAGTGCTTTGCTGGATCAGGGCCATAGTATACAAATCCAGCTTGTAGCTTTTTTTGCATCTTTTCAAACTCAACTACTGTGTGTATTACGCACACCCTAGTCTCCTTTTACAAACCATGTAAACAGTTTTAGACAATGATACGCAGTTCTGTACTTTACTATTTTATAGCTATGAAACACACAAACAAAAAAGTGATTTGATTATTTACTTGTGCACTTCCAGCAGCTCTTGACTTTAAAGTCTGGATCTTCTCAAAAACCAAGTTGACCTTCCTCTTTGTGGCATCATCATTATCAGTGCTTCTGAAACATGGACACAATGTAAGTAAACAATGCAATGATTTAGGACACCAACTATTTTGCTCTGGCCGGAATAAACCTCAAGCATGCAAATTATAATAAAATCAATTAGGAGCAAATTAAAAATAAATTTTAAACTACTATTCCACGAAGACTTTAAATAAATTATTAAAAAATTTTAATTGCAAATATTTTCTGGAAAATTACTTGACTCTTTTATTACAATTCTGAGCTGAAGGCCAGTATAGCAATGATGGGTGTTCTGCACATAAGTTATTGAACAAGCTGCCTGAAACTTTTAACACAATAAAGTTTAGGTCCCTCATAGTCCTGCCTGCTATGTCCCAATTGTCACAACACCCTCATTCTGTGATATCACAGCTACCAGAAACTCTGCTAAATCAATACCTTAAGAGGCTTGAGGGGTGGAGTGCATAGAAATGTTAAGTATATTGTGTGGGTTAGAAATTCTCTGCCCCCCGCCCTTTTTTTTAAATTGGTTACTTTCAGAATATACAACATCAAAAAAAATGTGACAATCTTTCACCTGGAGAAGGCACTTGATGCAAAGGACAAGGGGAACTTACCTCAGACTTTTAGGTGTACAGTCCACTTTTTATACACCAATTTAGAAATAGTTTCTGTGCTGCTCAATTCATGTGTTGTGCTTTTAAATGTTTTCTGAACTTTGACACCACAGGAGATACACTTGATTTTTTTTTAAATTAACCAACCCACAAATTTATTTTTAATTTTTTAAAAAGTATATTTAATCTGATCCTGAACAATATACAGCATACAAATTCTGATTAGATGGGAATTTTCAGATCCTTTGTGACAGACCCAGACCAGTGGGGTACAGGAGTCTGGTAGAGGGCAAATATACTGGTCACTAGATGAGTAGTCTTCTGTTCCCTGAGTGACCAGAGCAGGGGCTGTACTAGAGTAATCAGGAACCTGCTAGAACCAGTTAAGGCAGGCAGGCTAATTAGAACACCTGGAGCCAATTAAGAAGAAGCTGCTAGAATCAATTAAGGCAGGCTAATCAGGGCACCTGGGTTTTAAAAGGAGCTCACTTCAGTTTGTGGTGTGAGTGTGAGGAACTGGGAGCAAGAGGTGCAAGGAGCTGAGAGGGTGTGCTGCTGGAGGACTGAGGAGCATAAGTGCTATCAGACACCAGGAGGAAGGTCCTGTGGTGAGAATAAGGAAGGTGTTTGGAGGAGGCCATGGGGAAGTAGCCCAGGGAGTTGTAGCTGTCATGCAGCTGTTACAGGAGGCACTATAGACAGCTGCAGTCCACAGGGCCCTGGGCTGGAACCCGGAGTATAGGGCGGGCCTGGGTTCCCCCCAAACCTCCCAATTGACCTGGACTGTGGGTTCTTCCAGAGGGGAAGGTTTCTGGGCTGTTCCCCAACCCACATGGTGAATCTCTGAGGCAAGAAAATCTGCCAATAAGCGCAGGACCCACCAAGATAGAGGAGGAACTTTGTCACACCTTCAAGGACATTGCTGAGCTTCAGAATAGTGAAGTAGTATAATTTTTAATTAATCTATCCTTTTTGGTTTACAGTCTAATTTTAACAATAGTGTACTTTAATTTATAACTTCTTTAAGAAAGAAGGATACATCATCCATCCATTCAATACAAGGTAGTGTTTTACTAAGACAGTGGTCCCAGTGGCAACTAACTCTGCATAACAAATCAAAGACGTCTGCATTGGATATGTATAGAACTATATTTACAGAAATTTTAAAAGTTGTTTTTAAATAATTTTCTTTTTGTTATATATTCATATTAAGGGTGAAGTCTCCACGGTAATTTTTCAGCTACCATATGCTGCTACTTAATTGTTCTCTGTGCATCACGATATTTTATGTTGAATATAAAACACATAGGAACAGACTGCTATGGGGATTAGGAATCTGAAAAACATCCAGAAGATTACAGGTACATACTTCAAACAACCAAATAACCTCTCCCAAAAAATTAAATAAAGATCCTCAAGCTGGTACAATCTCCAATTTCTACTATAAAAGTTAATGAAGTTTACTAACCCTTCCTTAAGGTAATTGTAAAGGATCTGCTTAGCTGTCTCCTCATTTGTTTGTTGCGTGAGGTCTTGCTGGCCCTTTAACAGATCAGGAGTTGCCTAAAAACACAAGGCTGGATATCAAAATACAGACTTTCAATGATTTGCTTCCCACTTTTGCTTCTGCTTTGAAATTCTCCATTCTATATATAGTAGAACCTCTGAGTGACATCATCTCAGGAACAGAAGTTGTTCATAACTCTGAAATGTTCGTAACTCTGAACAAAACGTTATGGTTCTTTCAAAAGTTTACAACTGAACACTGGATTTAAAACAGCTTTGAAACTTTACTATGCAGAATAAAAATGCTGCCTTTAACCATCTTCATTTAAATGAAACAAGCACAGAAACAGTTTCCATATCTTCTGAAACCTTTAAAAAAAAATATCTACTTTCTCTTTATATTTTAGAAGTTTACGTCTAACACAGTACTGTACAGCAGTGCTTCTCAAAGCCGGTCCGCCGCTTCTTCAGGGAAAGCCCCTGGCAGTCCAGGCCAGTTTGTTTACCTGCTGTGTCCGCAGGTTTGGCCGATCGCGGCTCCCACTGGCTGCGGTTCGCCGCTCCAGACCAATGGGGGCTGTGGGAAGGGCGGCCAGCACATCCCTTGGCCCGCACCGCTTCCTGCAGCCCCCATTGACCTGGAGCAGCGAACCGCGGCCAGTGGGAGCCGCGATCAGCCGAACCTGCGGACACGGCAGGTAAACAAACCGGCCCGGACTGCCAGGGGCTTTCCCTGAACAAGCGGCGGACCGGCTTTGAGAAGCTTTTTTTTTTTTTTTTGGGTCACTGCTGCTGATTATATACTTCTGGTTCCAAATGATGTGTGTGGCTGACTGGTCAGTTTGTAACTCTGATATTCTACTGTAGCAATTTTACCAGAGAAGTAGTTCATTGAGGGTATGAGCCAATGCTCACTGAAGTCAATGGGAGTTTTCCCATTGACTTCAGTGGGTTTCAGATCAGTCCTTATAAGTGAAAGATACAGTGTGCTTGTTCTTACTCTGATAGTCGTAAAAAATGTCACTGATCTTACTATAAATCTTACTACTTAAAATTACCAAGTACTTCTTTGGGGGCATTGAGAGAAACAAGCGTACTACAATTCAGCAGACAGGAGAGACACCTGTTTAAAAATATGCACATTTGGACCTTTTCCTTAATGTTGTTGTTTGCTGCAGTGAGTATGTTTTAGGCATCAATAACACATTTTTTACAATAACACTCCTAATTCCCACCCTTCTCCCTCCTCCAAACAGGAATGTGACTCTGTTCCTTAAACTTGGCTTTCTACAGCCTCACCCAGAGAATAACTGTTTACATTTACTGTTATTGAAACCCACCCTGCAGCTCTTCCTGAGGTCAAACTTCCACTAAACACCATGGGAGTTTGGTCTAACGATAAACTGCAGGATTTGACCCATAAAAAATGTGCATTTTATACAGTGTACACCAGACAGCTTTGACTTACACAGTGCAGGTAACTTAAGAGACAACATGTTTCATATTGAAAAGTTACCTGTGTATTTGGGGCAGAAGAAAATGTTTTTACTAAGATCTTCTTTGTTCCTGGGTCGGGCGGGATTGTAATTCGATTTGGCAACAAGAGAGTAGAAGTTACTGTTTTAACTTCCTCTTTTTTATTCTGTACTGGAAGTGTGGATGACCTAAACATCAAACTCGCTCCATTAACTTTATTTTCTTTATGATATTGCAATGAATTGTAATGGTTGTTCTGAATGTCTTGAGCAGTCGGTTGCAGTTTGCTGACAGTTTGAGCAGCAACTTGTGTATCAGGGGAAGGCAACTTTTGTTCAAGAGATAATTGTTTCTGAAGGCAAATTTTTGATGGCCTTAGCAAGTGCTCAGTTGATTTACCCAAATTTTTACTAAACTCATCTAAGTAATCTGAATTCACCTCCAGGCCTAAAGACAGTACACTGTCAACACTTCTTGATCTTTTACGATCATCTGGGTGAATTCTGTTCCTTTTTCCTGATCTACCTCTTCTCTGTGGACCAGTTTTCCTATCAAACTTTTCAATTAGTTGATCAACTGCAGGAATTGAGTCAGTGTCAATATCACGGCCTGTTCCAGGCAAAAATGGGATATACCTTCTGTTTTCATGTCGATTAACATTGTCTGCATAGATAGCATATTCTTGGTCATCAAGTAAAAACTTATACAAGGAATTTGCAGAAGTTGGAGTGGTTGATGAAGATGATGATCTTCGTGACCCATCCAATACTGATCCAGCTGAATCTTGTCTGCCGAAAGAAAGAACATCTGGTCTACTTTTCCTTGTTTCTGGTTGGCCAGTTGGGCTAACATGTGGGGATCCTCCACTAGATGAAAGGGACTCGAATACATGCACTTCATTTGGAGTGCTAGTAACACTGGGGCACTTGGACACATGCTTATTTTGGTCTTCCACTGCTATGGACCTGTTCAAATGAATTGTTTTCACATTTGATTTGGCTGACTCCACAAGCTGTGGGGTTTTCTGTAGGGTCACTACTTTAGATGAAGAAGTCCAAGGCTTTGTTTCAATCTTGCCTTCATCTGCAAGAGATTTAGACTTATTGCACACAGAAGATTGGTAGCTATCCAAGTTAAAGTTATTTTTTTCTGGATCATAAGGCTGTAAAAGCTCAGGATGCCTTTGAAAGTTCAACAAATTGGAGGGTTTTAATGTTCCATATTTAGAATCTGAGACTCCATTCTCTCCTTCATTGATATTGGTTTGCTTTAGGCTTTTAAACATACTGGGCTGTGTGGACTGTGTTCCAGGAAACTTTATTTCTTCACTATTTTTCTCCCCCAATTTAAGAGCAGTATTGGAGTTTGGAGCTGACCTATTAATTGTCTGAGATGCAACCTGCAGCCCATTTTCAGATAAAGATGGGTTTTCTGACAAACACCCCTCTGTGTTGTTTAGCACTAAGTAGGGATGACCATCAATTCCTTGGACCCTAATACTGACACCATAAGATCCAGGCTTGGAGTGTTGTGTATTTCTAGCTTTGTGTGTCTCATCATTTGCAAGCTTGAGATGAACTCCACAGTCCCGTTGCACATGCTTGAAACCAGCACAATATGGCTCCATGATTAACACAGGTTTTCAGCTATGAAAAAAGGACATACAGATAAGATTTAATTTTGATTAAGTTTGGTTATTTAATTAGAGAAAACGTATGTGACGTTGCACTCTATATGATTTTATGAAAATATACTAATGAGTGTGAATATAATGTAACTGGAATATGCTTCATGCAAAAGGTCTCTTGTAAGGTATCCTTACAAAGCTTATAATCTACTGAGTGTGTTCATCCTATTTGTATGAATGTATCTGAAACTAGAAATATGAAATAACTCCGAGGGCCTATTGTAATTAAGCAAAGTGTGGGCCATTAATGGTGGTTTGGAATCTTGATGGCTCCCATTAACCAGGACAATTGTCTGTAGATGGCTCTGTTTTACTTGTAAGTCTTCCTGTATATGTGTGTGCTGGCAAGTGGGTAATGAAGTCTTACAGTGACATGTGATCACATCACCTGAACTGGAATCCATCTTTAACCTGGTGCTTTTCCATTTAGAAGTGTGGGTGGGGGACCCAGAGAGACAAAAGATTCCCGCCTTGTGCCAAAGTTATATAAGGGGGTGGAACAGAACAAAGGAGGCTGCAATCATAAGAAATCCACTAGCTACCCCCTGAGCTGGAACAAGGGCTATACCAGGGGAAAGGATTGTGCCCGGGCTAGGAAGGTGTCCAGTCTGTGAAAGAAACTTATTGAAACATCTCTGAGGGTGACATTTTATCTGTATTCAGTTTTATTACTGTATTAGGTTAGACTTGCGTGTTTTGTTTTATTTTGCTTGGTAATTCACTTTGTTCTGTCTGTTACTACTTGGAACCACTTAAATCCTACTTTCTGTATTTAGTAAAATCACTTTTTACTTATTAATTAACCCAGAGTATGTATTAATACCGGGGGGGCGGCAAACAGCTGTGCATGTCTCTCTATCAGTGTTATAGAGGGCAAACAATTTGAGATTTATTTGGGGTTTGGACCCAATTGGGAGTTGGGCATCTGAGTATTAAAGACAGGAACACTTCTTAAGCTGCTTTCAATTAAGCCTACAGCTGTTAGGGGATGTGGTTCAGACCTGGGTCTGGGTTTGCAGCAGGCTAGCGGGTCTGGCTCAAACCAGACAGGGCACTGAAGTCCCAAGCTGCCAGGGCAGGAAAGCAGGGGCAGAAGTAGTCTTGGCACATCAGTTGGCAGCGCCCAGGGGATTTCTGTGATCCAACCCGTCACAACGTACATGCCGACCAAAAATCACAATACTTATTTTTACTAATAAGAAATAAGAACACTGATCATTTACATAACGTTTCCCTCTGTAGAGCTGGTGGAAGGAACAATTTAAATACAGAGAAAATGAAGCGCAGAAAATAAAATGGTTTACACAACGTCTCAAAGCAAATAAATGGCAGATAAGGACTAGAACTGATGTTCCTTTACTCCTAGCCCACTGCTTCATACTCTGGACCGGGGTAGTCAATTACTGTTTGTCAAGGTCCAAATTTCTTGGTCAAGGTATAGTCAAGGTCCAGATTCCAGAGAAACATTTTTCACACCACAATCATCATAAGCAAATAAAAAGATTTAAGGGTCCCTTCAAAAGCATCTGGCGCTTTGGATTTGGCCTGTGGTCTGCCAAAGTACCTAAAAAGTAAAATGCTTTTAACTTTCAATGAGATACTTAAAAAATTTGACATTCATTCCACAAATACAAATAATTTACGGTGATAGATCCACTGGAGAGACCTCACTGAAAATTCTGAAAAAACAAACTCTTAATGTATTTATTTTCTGCATATTTTTGCCCCCTTTTTATCGATCACACATTTCATGGCAGCATCTCACCAGAGATTTCCAGATCTCCAAACCATAACCTAGAAGTGTTGAACACTCCGATGTGCAAGGAGGAAAAGAGAGGATTTCATATTTCTTGAACTAGTGTCTTACAGGTGTGATGAACCTTACATAATTTTTAGCAAAAGATTGCCATTTTGCCAACTAACTGTGACTCAGGGGATGTGATTGTATTGCAGTGGTTCCCAAACTTTAATAATCTGTGAACCCCTTTCACGAAAATATCAAATCTTGCAAACCCTCTCCTAAAAATGAATATTTCCAGGGATTTTCTCCCTTACCTGAGCATAAATGATAGAAGCAGTGATCTTGGAAATAATTTGGTTTTTTTATGACATGCTTATTACACACTATTTATTATTACATTATTAATTTTATTACATTATGAAAACAGACTAGGGACCGAATGGCTAGGCAGCAGTTCTGCAGAAAAGGACCTAGGGGTTACAGTGGACAAGCAGCTGAATATGAGTCAACAGTGTGCCCTTGTTGCCAAGAAGGCTAACGGCATTTTGGGCTGTATAAGTAGGGGCATTGCCAGCAGATCGAGGGACGTGATCATTCACCTCTATTCGGCATTGGTGAGGCCTCATCTGGAGTACCGTGTCCAGTTTTGGGCCCCACACTACAAGAAGGATGCAGAAAAATTAGAAAGAGTCCAGCACAGGACATCAAAAGTATATTTTGATTTAACATCGCTCTTATTCTGGATTTCTCTAGCTTTTTTACTGGAAGTACATACCCCCCCACACACAAATGGTCAGACTGAAGCCAATAATTAGTATTGGCCCTACTAATAAGAGGATGGTAGTATGCCTCAGGAGAGGAAACATGTAACCAGCTATTACTGGCTTTTAGATAGCTGACGCAGTGGAAGAAGCTCCAACATCCTCATGCTTCCAAGCTCTGCTTTTATCTGTTTGGCTTTCAACATTTGTTTTCAGAAAAGGAAATGTCACTGTTTCCTACAGCTTTGCTATCCTGTGGCCTGGATACTATCCCTCCATCACATTTTAGTCTAAAATAGTGTTTGTTTCTTAGGGCTTCTGAAAGCAAATTCCGTTTACATCTATCACCTCATCTGCAGAACCCATAGTGGTACAAATATTGATTAATTATGCTATCAAAAATTAACTAAACAATCCTGCCATTGCTGTATCATTGCTTTTGGCTTGCTCCAGAAAACTCACCACCACCATATGGCATTGCAAACAGATTCTCTGGTGAGCAGTGGAAATGGAAAATATACTGTGAATATTCCCAAATTTGATATTTCAATTATACCAGCTGAAGCACCAATGCTACTAACTCCAGATTACATGCACCAAAGCTGTTTTATTTCAAGGAGACATCAAACTAGAACAAACCTGAACCATCAAAATTAAAATCTGTTTTCAAGAGCTATTTATTTTGTTTTTACTTGCATTGTCTCTTTAAATATAAGATATCAATAAGATCACCTACAGGAGGGATGGGGACAATAATTACAAACTACAGACAGAGTGCCAAATGCTTTAGTCTGCCAGAGGAAGATGAATTGTCGGTAGAAGGATTGTGGGTAGGTCAGCAGTACTGAAGTCAAAATAAACAGTAAGACCCTGTCAGAGTTATCTGGCCCTTTAACGGGGTTAGGGCTCAGCTGCACCTGTACCAGACAGAATTTGCCTCCCTATGGTGAAGGAAATTAAGGATAGTTATGTGACAAAGTGTAACCCTAAAGCACTCAGTCCCAACTGGCAAAGAGTTCACTGTTCTGTAACAGTAACTCCTGACAGGCCTGACAAACTCAATGCACCCACACATTGCTTTGATAATATTTATCCAGGCAGGATCAAGTGAGATCTCTATTAATAGCTTATGTCATACCGATGCTCATAATTGTTGCAAGATGTATGCATGGATATTAGTTGTCTATATGTACTGGAAAATACGTTTTCAAGTCTGAATCAAAAGCATGGGTGTCAAACAAGTTCTGACCAGACAAAGGATGTATATTCACCTGTCTGCCTCAGTTCACATGTAAAACAGGCACTGTATATGAAGGCAACATGGAGACAGCACACCAGGGAATAAACCAAGGGGAGGGACACGGGGGGAGGGGGTGTTGTGTCAGCCTGACTCTGGGGACAAACAACGAACTTAGGGGATATAAGGAGGCGGCAAAAGGACACCTCTTTGTCCTTCACTGAGGAAAGCAAAAAAGGACTGCATTTTTTGCATTAATGAAAGAGAAAGCCCAGCCCATGTTGGTTGGAGACACTGGGAGATTGTTTTAGGCGAGAAACTACTTTAGACAAGGGTTTAGCCTGTTAACGTTAACTTTAGACTCTAGAAAGCACATTATACTATTTGTTTTATGTGAAACCATTTCTGTTTCCATTGTTATCATTACTCACTATCGCTTAAATCTTCGCTTTTGTTAAGAAACTTATGATTGTTTTCACTCTAACGGTATCTCAGCAGTGTGATGTTATATAGGAGCTGACTCTCAGTTGAACCAAACACATTTGTATGTACACTACCCTTTGGGGTGGCAAACCTGGTAACTTCTGAGAGTGTTCAGTGATTAAGGGCTGGACGCTACAGGGGAAGGCTTCTAAGGGTCTCAGAGACTGATTGGGTTGCGTGTATTGTTAACTTGCAAAGTAAAGTAAGGGCTCCACTCAGAGGAGATTGTCTGGGTGGCGGGGAGCCCACACCCAGTTAACCACAAGCAAGTTGCTTTCTCACTGAGCAGAGGGGTAACAATAGGGTTACCATATTTCCACACTGAAAAAAGGGGACACTTCACGGGGGCCCCGCCCAAACTCCGCCCCTTCCCCGGCCCAACTCCACCCCTGCCCCGCCCCTGGCCCCGGCCCAACTCCGCCCCTTCCCCGCCTCCATTCCAACCCCTTCCCCAAAGTCCCTGCCCCAACTCCGCCCTCTCCCCTGAGCGCCCCGCATTCCCCCTCCTCCCTCCCGCCCCCCGGGCTCCGGCTGCTGCTGCGCTGGGGAAGTTGCTTTGGCCCCTGCCGCGGTGGAGAGTGGTGGGAGCCGGGAAAGTTGGAGCCCGGGGAGGAGGTGGCTGCATGCTCGGATGCCGCCCGCCGCCTCTGTACCCCGGCAGATAGCAGATCGCGGGAGTTGTAAGTTTTGCTGCAGCCACTCGCACTCGGGGTCCCCTTACCATGCCTCCCTATTTTCCCAGACATGTTTGGCTTTTTGGAAATTCCTCCCGCATGGGGATTTGAGGACCGAAAATCCGGACATATAGTAACCCTAGGTAACAAGGTGACCAAGAAAGTGTCCCACAAAGGTCATATGACTGAATCAGGCCTGCTGGGAAATGAGAGTAGCCTGTGGCTCAGACAGCAGGAAGAGCAGATCTGTGAATTAGCACTCATTAAGAGCAGGCGGCCCGGTTAGGAGGTCAGTCTGGGAGGGCTCCAGGATAAGGAGAAGACATGGCCATTTTGGATTATGGGCATATAGCCCAGGTGTTTAGTTGTTCCAGGGATGGTCGTATTGGGTGGGCATGTGTTCCCCCTATATACCATTTTGTGTGGGAGTGCAGTGTCCCCTGCCGAACAGGGAAAGAAGAGACTGGCCAGAATCTAGGAAAAGGGCTGAATACAAGGTGAAGGAGGACAGATCTTCACAGGGAAGGTTGTGCCCACTGGAAGAGTCTGGGAAAGAAGACTTGATCTTGACTGTATACTAGACTTTGAGTCAGTGGCGGATTAGCCCCTGGGCCCCGGCCAACTGGGGGGCCCTGGAGCCCCGACCGCTGGAATCCCCCGACCCCACTCCGAGGCAGCAACACCGAGCGGGGGAAGCCCCTGAGCCCCGACCCTGCTCCCCAGCAGCAGCGCCAGGGTGGTAGGGTGTGGGAATCCCCCCGGGCGGCCCCGTCCTGACCCCTGCAGAAGCCGTGGGGTGGCAGGGGAAGCTTCTGTGCCCGACCCTGCTCCCCCGCAGAAGCACGGGGGAGTTACGGGGAAAGCCCCTACATCCTGATCCCTGCTGCAGCCCTGGGACTGGAGGAGCTCTCACTCCTTGCTACACCCCAGCGCCATAGCGTGGGACACTGCTTCTCCGGTCTTGGGGTCACAGTGAGTGCAGGGTGGCAGAAAGGAGCAAAAGGGGTTGTGGGACTCCAGGGTTGCCAACTCTGACTGAAGCTATTCTGGGAGATTTTTTTTTTTTCCTTCCCAACCTGACAATGTCATTTTCTTAAAATATTCTATTAAAATCTCCTGGATTGCTTTCAATAGTCACTGGGAGATCGATTCTGGGAGACTCCAGGTCAAACCTGGAGAGTTGGCAACCCTAAGTGGGGGGGACCCTGGGTGGAACAAGAGTGGGCCCAGGGGAAGGGGCAGAAAGGGGTAGGGCTGCGGGTAGGGCTGCAGGCGGATGGGGCAGAACAGGGGCAGGGCCGCAGGCAGGAGTCCCCCACTTGCTCTGGCCCAGGAAACCTTAATCCACCTCTGCTTCGAGTTAAACCCTGGAAAGGGTGAACTTTTAGACTTAGCCAGGGTGCTAAGTCACTGCAGCAGCCTGACCGCTCTGTGAGTACTGGGAGCCGGTGAATGACAAACACTAAGGGGAAACTGAGGCAGAGCCCTCACTGGGTTCAGTGAGACCCCGTTACAGACCCTATGACTGTTAAGTCAAAGACAAAAGCAGAAGAGGAACCGCTTCAAAATTACTATAGCAAAATAATTTAAAATTTGCCATTGTTTAATAGACCAATGTCATACAGGTAAAATCATTACACTTTCCCTGCTACCAATGACATTTTTTCCAGTGAAATAATGGATTTAAATATTGAAATTTTTATACTGCAAGAGTGGTGCTTCATTTTTCCTCTTTTAGGTATCTGTCTTTAGGAAGCAATAGATTAGTGGAAGATGCAAACAGACATCCATAAACAAAGTTGGCAAAACACAATGGTGTAATGGCATAGATTTCCATAGTTACATCACAGACCCTAGCCAAACTTATGTGTTGCATATTACACAGCTCTCTCGGTCCACTCTTGCTGCTACTTGTATCAGTGAAGGGCTGTTCATACCATATTAGTGGCAGTGATGCTCTCTCCAAAGAATTCTTCTAGACTAGCAAATAATTGCTGTAGATTTCAATTAATACAGAACTCTGTACAAAACTATCACAACATAAAAATTAGAAGAACAAGTGTTTGCTGCTCGCCTTTCATCTCAAACCCAGCACAGACCAAGAGCTTAGCTGCAATGAAGATTTCAGCCATTGGTGGCCCGCCACTGATATAGTTGCACATATCTAGTGTAGAAATGCAAAACCAAGATTCGCACCAGTGCTGCTTATACCAGTTTCAAGCAGGCTTACCTGAACCAGTGCCTGGCCACTGACAGCTATACCTTGGGCAAATCCTAAGTGTAGACAAGGCTTAACATATAGACAATTTTGAAAACTCTCATAAAAGCACCAAAGAGTTTGAAATCAGTAGCACTACTGAGGGGAGACAATACCACTTGGACTATAGCAAATATTCCTGAAAGCAGCATTTCATCTAGCTCTAGGGTTGAGTTGACAGATATACTAGCCAAAAGATATTGAACCAAAGTGCCCCAGAATGGAAACTGATTAAATGCCACATGCTACTCAAAATTGATAATCGATGGGAGTACTCAGAACAACTAGGCATTCCTCAAGATAGAGAGCTCAAATCCCATAAGTTGTCCTGTGCCAAAGGCCCACAAAACGATCCTAATAAGGCCACTTTCAATCTTTGTGGATCTCTGAGAACAGCATGCCAAGAAGCCCTGGGTAACTAAATGCTCACCAAGCCTCAGACCAATATTAAAAAGAACTATGCAGGAAACCCAACCCACAGATGCCATGGCAATAACAGAAAATAGAAACCGGGGCCACCTAAGGAAGTGAACGGAAAGAGGGATTCTTGGGTTTTCCAAGAGAAGCATCACAAGATGTGACAGGAATTCAAATGGCCAGAAGGGACGCACAATAAAAACATCAAAACAGAAAACGTTAACAGTTTCATTCACCTCTTGTATCTCAGCAAGAACTGCCCCTTCAGATGTTACGACTGACAGGAGGGTTTCAGATAACATGCAGAAGTTGATCCATTTTTTCAGACTAAAAGGACAGTCCAGCTCACCATTAACCAGCCAACTAGTCTGCTAGTCACCAGCCAGTTCAACTTCTTCCCAATGGACACCCCTCCCACCGTGGCCTAAAACCAGCCACAGCTCCCCTTCTCCCAGGGCACTGGGAACTTGTCCTACTTAGCAAGTGTTGCTCAATACAGCCTGTCTCCCAGCTCTGATGCCAGTGGGCCAATTGATGGTCCACACGACACAAACAAAGACAGCCTCATTGACCAAATTTTTCCTGGACTGTAAAAACATTTGGTAAACTAGCTACCATTTCTGCCAGATGTTGTTAGTTTCAATACAGGGAAATAAAATAAACAACATGAAATTTGAATTCCCTTTAAGACTTCCAGGAATACCAAGAGTCATTGAACAAAAGAAAGGGCAAAACAGGGAAGGCCAAGGGAAAGGAAAAAAATGCAAGAGGATGAACAATGGAAGGAAATGACAAATTCTCCTAAGTTTCATTTTTTCAGGTCTCCAATTCCATACGTTTCCACATAATATTGAAGTTTCCTTTGTCATAGTGTATGATAATATCTCGCAACAGCTACACAGCTTCCAGGTATTATGATAACAGAGATACAATGACAAATCTAATACAATAGACATTTGCCTCATCATACTGAGGCTGATCCAAAGCACACTGAAAACAATGGAGAGACTCCCACTGTTTTCAGTGGGCTTTGGATCAGGACCTTAAAAAGCAACATTAGCTCTGAATACTTGTTAGCTAACAAAGCATGGAAGAAAAAAGATTATTTATGCAGCTCAGCAAATTCACAAAAAGCAAATAAGTAGATAAGAACCAAACGGCACTAACTATGGTAGCAAGTTGCTGGAAGAACAGGACAGAACCCAGATGTTCAGGCTCTCAATCCTGTGCTTTAATCTCTAATCCATGCTCCCTTGCTCTGAACACATCATGGTCTTGAAATGAACAAAAACTGAAGAACTGCAAGGAGAGTAAAGAGTGTTTTAAATGGTTTAGTTAATGTTTTCAGAAAATGTAAACAAATCTAGAAAAATATTTAACTCTAAAAAAGGAAATCTAGTTTGCGGAAACCAATACATTGTAACAATACTAGTCTCCTCAAAATCAACCATGGCATATTTGCATGTGACCATTTACACAGGAGAAACATGCTTAATATTTAATTAGCAGGTTGTACATGTGGTTCAGGGACCAAAGCGTTAGTATGCACGAAACAGGCTCTTTGTTGATTTTAGCTAGACAGCAAAAGTCACCAATGGCAAAACAAAAGAAATGCAAACAAAACTACTCAATACTCGAAAGCTTTCAATAGCATACTAGCAAATGTGGTTTGATATTACAAAGACATGTGTTTAGTAGTCCTCCGAGAAGAGAAAGAAAAGTTATCACTACTGACAAATTAAGATTAACAACTAATCTCCACAAGAAAAAGATATGAAACTTTAAGGCTATGGCTACACTGAGCCATTGTAAGGTCTCCTGTGTAGCCACTCTATGCCAATGGGAGAGAGCTCCCCCATTGGCATAATTAAACCACCCCCCGTACGCGGCAGTAGTTGGAGAGCATCTCCTACTGACATAGCCCTGTTCAAACCAGTGCTTCTGTTAGCGAAACTCATGTTCTTTTTCACACCCCTGACCAACAAAAGTTTTCCTGACAAAAGTACTAGTGTAGACATAACCTAAGAAATGATTATGCAAATCAAACAACAGAAACAATCAGAGAATTAAAAAATTCTCAGACCATCACCAACTAATGTGCTCTGAATATAACATTTCAAGCAGAATATAAACAAGAAATTCAGGGCAATTTTGCAGTTTTCAGTGGAAATACCTTTTATCAAAAAAATGGTAATTCATAAATTACTTTGCAATTTACAATTAAACTGCAAACTAGATTACAAAATTTAATGAGCAGAAAGACTTATCCCCCAATATGCAAGTGTATAATCTTAAAATTGCACAGAAGAAAAAGAAGCTTTTAGATTACGCATCAGAGTTCAGTAAATATGACTAAGCAGGATGCAGTTTCCTCAGTTTCCCACAGAAAAATTCTATGGAACAAATGTATTCATATTTAATGAAATTTTGGGGGATTTATACAAGTAGAATGCTTCATTTTCTTGTCCCAAACTTTCTTATACAAGAATAACGCCTGTAGAAATAAAAGTTCTAAAATATAATAATCTAAAAATAATATCCATCATTCTACATTGGCCTAACTTCCTTGAAGCTGAATGCAAACATTAATACTCACAATACCCATATGAAGTAGGAAAAGTAACTAGTCAAAACTTGCTTCAGACTATTTTATTTATTGGCACCAAGTATATAGTTATCACAAAAATAGTTACATACAGGGAACACTTATGCTATGGAATCCACCTGGTGCCACAGAACCAGGCTCCAGATTCCAAGAAATCATATAAAATTTTTTTTTTAAATTTCTCACTGATGTTTCTAGTTCTTATTGTTACAACAATAACCTAAGTATGGACCAAGCGTAAACTGCTGCAGCCATGTCTTCCCGAGTCTAAAGACAGCCTGAAACAATGGTTAATAAAAAAATGGCTCATAAAATAGAGAAATTTTGCATTTTTTTTTTGTTTTGTTCAGTGAAATTTCAAAGTTTTCTGATCAGCTCCTGTTCTGAACGGTGTGAACTTTTAACAAAAACATCCATCTAATGTGTTTATCCCATAGTCCCACACTGCCTCTTATAT